ATTGCCACTATACAACAGTGCTGGAATTACTATTCAGAAGCGCATCGAGATACCTAAACAATACATATATCAAATTTTATAAATCACACGCCAGCCGTAACAATTTAACGTTCATGTAACAAAAAAAAAATTTGCATGGAAGTTCTTTGAAATTAGAGGATCCATTCACCATAAATGTCCTCGATGGCTTTTCTCCGTTCATGCCATACTCTTTTGTAATTAACATCAACTTGAACCAACACTATTGTGTAAGCTATGTTGATTGCAATCTTGCTCATGACGAGTTCACGATTACGAAGAACCCACATTCAGATTCATACGGTTGTTGGCATTGTGTCATCTCACCATCTCTCACAAACCGTGTTTCTTCACGATGCAATTATCTTCCATAAACAAGGGGTTATGTGATCAAAACTGCTTCTTACTAAGTTTTGCACTCCACTGCCCATGTTTTTGGAGTACTCTATCCCATCGAGGAAGACGGAATTGATCTTTATCCACACATGAGGCATCTCAATCACTCATTATTTGACATGTGAGACACCTAACTGGTTTTTTTAACTTTCCTCGGGTTCTTTATTGCTTTCTTTACTTTCTGAGCATACCGAACGCCCTTCATCACTTTCACTTGGCGATATCTAATCATCATCATCCGCTTCTGTGTAATTCTCATTGCGCGGATCCTCGTAGATTGGAACATGCCTACTTGTCCCTTTTTCTGGATGAGAGCGAGAATTACTAGCATGTTGTTGGGCTTTGACCATCACCCTGGCTTCGACTACTATCCTATTTTTTACAAAACCGCCCCAGTTTGGACTACCAACCTATTTTTTACAAAACCGCATTTCCTTTCACCATGGATAATATCCTATAAATCAATGTACGAATCTACACATGATATCATAAGAAGCAAATATATGATTGCCATATGTAATTCATCCTTAATTTTGAACACACGCCTTACACCATCATTACCAAACACTAATGAAAGATTTGGTTTATCAGTTCTTGGATCCCACTCAACTCTATAACAAATCTTTCCAACCAAATCAGTTTATGATATCCTACTCTCAAAAAGTATGGTGTCATCTAACAAATTTTCAAATGTGTTTATAATACCATTCACTATTACAAACATACTGCTTCAGAACAGATTAACAACGTATGAACCATTGAACGCTATTTATATCTTTTTATTAAAACAATCTTCATACATCAATTTAATAACATTTAGTAACTCAACATCCAACATTGCAAAAAAATCACGTAACAGGAGGTAAAAATCACATAATACACTAGTAATGGTGTCCAAAATCAATTAATACACTAAAATAACCTTTAATACGTCTAAAAATTGCTTTCATAACAGTACTTCCTCACATGAAACATTAAAACCAATATTTAATATAAAACATATATTTAATCATAACATAATCTTAAACATTAGTTTCACAGAGAAACACTACAACTAATACTTTGTTTTTATCAAAAAAGGATAAAATAGTATTCGGGTTCCGAACTGCCTCAAAAACACTCAAGGGGTATACCCAAGAGATGAATTTTTGAAACAGCCAATGGTAGATGATACAATGTACCCACGGGTGTACCAATGGATAGACATATGCATCACCTATTTCCCTAGTCCCATTTCTCCCCTGAAATTTATTCCTTAAATGAAAAAAGGAAAAATCTAGGCAGAGTGTGGATCTAACCCTAGATATGCTACATCAGAGTGTTACAGTTTGAATAAGATGTCATACAATTATCTAACTCTAAGATAAAGAAAAGAAGATCTACCTAGATTTACTTTTCCTCGTATTGTTGCCGGAAGATCACCAAGGTAGTTATATTGAGTAGAAACCCTAGCCAAAGCTTGTTTTGCAAGTTCGTCTGTAACGCTGTTTGCCTCTCTAAATATGTGAATGATGGTCGATTGCGAGGATCTCAGCATCTCTTGAATTCCTCTAAATTGATGATAATGCTGCCATGGGAAATCCTTTCCTTTTTGCAAGAAAAGTAAAGTGACCTTATTATCCGTTTGAACTTCAATGTGGCGCAACCCTCTGGCCATACAAGCCTTCAAATCTTGATAGATTCCAGCCAATTCAGCCTCTAAACTTGTTGCCCTTCCAATATATTGACTCTCGGCAATGATGAAAGTGCCTTGCTCACCCCTCAAAACATATCCCAAACAGGCTTCTCCTGGCTGCCCTAATGCAGAACCGTCTGTATTGAGAACAAATCCTCTGGGGTCAGGTGCCTTCCATTTGACAATCTTGATTTTCCTTCGCGGTGGTTGTAGTACTTGCACTTTGAAAAGCTTTTCCACCTCTTGTCCCTCCACAATGGATTTGGCTTGTAAATTGTGGACACTCAGCATTTGGGAAATATTTGTAGAAATATTCTTAATCAAAATTGAAAAAGAAAAAGAAGTACCTTCAAACACCATTTGATTTCTGAGTTTCCATACTTCCCATAACAAAAAAAGAGGAGTAACCATTATGATCATCTTTTTCACTGTTGTGAAATTGCCAATAGATTGCCACGATTGAAGTAGACTCCATCATCCTGAATTATGGTTTGAAATCCCTAAAATTCCAGAAAAATGATGCCATGTTTGTTTGATCCACGACCAGCTATAAAAGACGTGGTCCATATTCTCTTCCACTTCTTGACAAAAGGGACATCGAGATGGATTTAATACCAAGCTCATTTAGCATTGTATCTCTGGAAAAGGGAGCAAACGGTTATAAGTTGCCAAATGAAAAAAGAAACTTTCAAGGGAACAACTTTATTTCAAAAATTTTTAAGGAAAGGAAAAGCTTCTCTTGTATTTCTTATCGCTTTGTAGGCCAAAGATATTGCAAATTCTTCTGTCAAAGAAGGTGTCCACACAAGCTGGTTATCTTCCTCCATAAACACCATCCCCTTATTGCGCAAGTCAGCATCAACCTCCGACGAAATAAGCCATCAAAAATCTACAAGAAAAAATTTTTGTCTTGCAAGAATTCCAAAACGGTTAGTGTTGGGGCTGGTGGATTATGTTCCTCCTTCCAAATTGGTGATAAAGAAAACCATCTGTCAAACCAAAAAGAGGACGAGCCATTTCTTATTTCAACTTTTGAAGCCATCGATGCGAGATGATCAACTCCTTGAACTCTTGTCCAGCTTGTCCTTTCCTTTGAAGTTTTTGATAGCGACACAACAAATTTGGCCCAAATCCAGAGACATTATTGATCTTCCACAAAAGTTTTAGAGAGAAAGATTGGATGACTTCACTCAGGCTACGAATATGAAGTCCATTCTCCTCAATCAGCGCAGATGAATTTCTCCATGCTCGCCAATGTTTTTTGGGTCCCTCTTCATTTTCCCCCCATAAAAAAATTTGACATTTTCGCTCAAGGCCAGGAACAACTGACTTTGGAGCTTTTATGGCAGCAAACGTATGTATTGGCAGCGCAGAACACATGCTGGATGAGTATTAGCTTCCCCCCTTGTGTTAGAAATTTACTCTTCCAATTTAACAACTTGGCATCAAAAGCAATTAGTAAATGCTGGAAATATTCAACTTTCTTTCTTCCTTTAAACAATTGCATCCCAAATAGGTAAATGGAAAGGTCCCTTGCGGCATTTGTAAGGTTTGATTCACCATTTCAAAATGATCCATGGTACTCTTTGTCCAAAGCATAGAAACAACTCTTTTGCTTGTTCATCTTCTGCCTTGTAGCTGCTTCATAATCCTGGAAAAAAGAGATCAAGTTTTCCATAGAATGCTTCAGTCCCTTTGTGAAAATTATTAGGTCATCCGCAAAACATAAGTGGGATGGGATCATCGTTTTTGCAGGCATTCCATAGACCGCAATCTTTCCTTCTTCTGAAAGCATCTTCAAGTTACGAGTTAGGGCTTCTGAAACCAAAATAAACAAATAAGGCGATAGTGGATCGCCTTCCTCTATACCTCTCGAAGCCTGGAAAAACCCAACCGGACTTCCATTGATGAGAATGGAGAACCGACTCTTTTCAAGATTTGAGAGGACCAATGCCACAAAACGCTCATGAAATCCAAATTTAAGCAAGATACACCATAAAAAGCTCCACGAAACACGATCGAATGCCTTCATCATATCAAGTTTTAGAATAAGGTTTCCGCCTCTTGCTGGATGATCAATAAACTGGATGAGATCTTGAGTTAAAAGAATGTTGTCAACAATGTCCCTCCCGGCCAAGAAGGTTGATTGTTCTTCTGAGATTAATCGAGGTAGAACTTTTTTCAGGCGTTCCATTAGCAACTTTGCAAGGTGCATAAAATTCAGCCGGAAGTCCGCAAAGGAGGTGGCAGTGGACTTTTTTGGAATCAAAGTGATTAAGGTGCTGCCAACAGCTCTTGGAAGAGGAGAGCCATTCATAAAGTCGATACAAGCAGCCATGAGATCCTCCTTAATAATATGCCAACAATGTCGATAAAAATCCCTGCCAAATCCATCTACTCCAGGAGCGCTTGAATGAGCCAGACTGAAAACAACATCTTTAATCTCTTCGCTGGTGATGATCTTCAAGAGGTCTTGATTATCTTCTGAGTTGATGATCGCCGGTATATTATTACGTATGCGTGAGGTCGCTTCATCATGATCCATTAAGTCCTCAGCTGTTAATAATTCCTTGAAGAAAGTAATCGCTTCAGCCTCTATATCCTCTCTTCGTGTTAACCATGAACCCATACGTCCTCTAATTTTATGGATGCCAAGTCGCACTTTTTTCTCAATCAAAGACGCATGAAAATAAGCTGTATTCGCGTCCCCTTCACGAAGCCATTTAATCTTTGATCGTTGGTGGAGGAAATCATCTTGCTCTCTTAATTTTAATAGAAGATGAGCTTGCGCCTTATGTAATTCACTTCTGTCAAAGTCGGTGCCAGATTGATCATAATTCCCTTCCTTGAGTTGGACATCATCCTCAGCATCCTTCAAATTTTGAGAGACATTCTCGAATTCAGTTTTATTCTAGTCTTTTAGTCGCTCCTTCAATCTACGCAACTTCATTGAAAAACCAATCATGCCTATCATATGATGCGGCAGCTCCCAATTATTCTTGACCACATCCAGAAAACTATCCCGTCTCATCCACATTTTTTGAAGCCGGAAGATACTAGGCCTTGTTTCCATCTCTACCCGAAATTGATGAAGTAATGGAGCATGATCAGACGTTGTTTTGTTGAGATTATGAATCGATGAAGCTTGGAAGAAATCCATCCATTCCTGACTAAATAAAACACGATCCAACTTTTTAAGTACCTTCCCGTTTTGTTGATTTCCTGACCATGTGAAAATATTGCCCAATGGTGACAATTCAGTTAGGTTACAGCTATTGATCCATTGATTAAAATCGTCCGTTGCTCCTCTATCAGGTTGAGCGTTACCCTCATATTCATCAATATGGCGAATGACATTGAAATTGACCCTGACCATCCATGGAATACCAGTGTGATTATCCATAAACCCTCGCAATTCAGTCCACAAAGCTTAATGTTTCTGACGTGTTGATTTTGCATAAACTGCCGACATCAAAACCTTTCTTCCTATCCTCTGATTTTCCACCTCTAAATGAAGCACTTGCTCTGATCCCTCAAGCTGATTAACATTCCATTCAACAGAATAGAGAACCCAAATTTTTCCCGTCACCGAAGCATATGCCTCCTTAAATTGAAGCTTATTTTTTATTCCATCTAATTCTGAAACCGCTATCATAGGCTCTAACAAGACCACGAAAGAAATGGAATGTTGCATAACCAAAATTTTCAAACGACGTTGAGATGGCTTATTACCAACTCCGCGTATATTCCATATTAATTGATTATTCATGAGGAAATTTGGGAGATGTACCACCATTGAGTCTCGTTGATTTACGAGTTTCAGATTATTGAATTTGTGGCTTCTTTCTTGATCCCCTTGGTCCGCCAATCTTTGGTTTCTTGAGCTCCTCCCCATCAGACACAACAGTTCTTGCATTTTCATAACCACCCAAATTAGAGCTCAATCCAACTATTGCATCATCCTATGATCACTCGCTGACTATCGACGCAGACGTTTCCAAAATTGAGTTTTTCCCATCAAAATTCTCTTCCTTATCCGAGTCTATTTCAACCTCAGATTCTACCATCCCATCAGGCTGTTCCTCCTTTTTCCCATTACTATTATTGTTATTTTCAAAAGCTGGATCTTCCTTCAAATCATCCAACACAGCAAATCGCGAAGATAAATCAACCTGCGGAATGTAGACAGTGAGTTGTTTGGTTCGCAAAATTCGATTTATGCTTCTGATCTTGTTATCCCATGAAGTGTCCATCTTATCTCCTTCTTTATTGTTTTCCAGAATCGTAGCCAATCTCCTTTGATATCCTCCTTTTCCCTGTCGATGGATTAAGTGGACTCTGATCCATAAGATCAATTGGAGTGTCTTGCTTATCTTTATGAGATAAACCTGATGACGACACTTTTAAATCCTGTTTTGGGGGATCCACTTTTGCTTTGATCACCTTGAGGCTTTGATTTTTCCCCTGGCCTTCAAAGGTACTTTTTGAGGGTTCTTTGCCACAGCCTTCGCCTTGCTGCGACGACAGTCTATGAAGCCATGTCCAACTTTCCTGCATTCCGAACAATACTCTGGTAGATTTTCATAAGTTATTTCTTGATAGTAAGAATATTCGTCCGTGCCAAGAAGAACACGCTGGGGTAGATCGTGCAAGAGGTTAACTTCAACGCAAACCCGGGCAATTGAGGGGTGCGAGAGATTCAAATTCGAAACATCAATTTTGAGGGGTGTTCCAACAATGCTTGCCAATCGACTCAAATAATCCGCATTGAAACGATATATTGGCAAGCCTTCAAATGTGATCCAGACGAGATTCATGTTCAGGGTTGAATTGCGGCGTCCATTTAAGTACCCGCATAACATGTTGATCGATAGTCCAAAGACCGTTAATCCAACAACGGTGGTAATCTTCTTCCAAATCGAAAAGAATGTGTATATGACAGTGATCAATCATACCTAGCAAATAAGTACCTTTAAATCTGATCTTTTGAAATTTATGCCACAAGAAAATCCATTCTTGGCCTCCCTTTTGAAAATTTTCCAACTAAGCAGAGCTTGAAGGGCGCCGCCAAAGCTTCATCTTCCTCTTTCGTCAATAAGAATGCCGGTTCCCCTTTATAAACAAAGGGTTTTGATTTGATAGAGGGAGCTACAGATGGTGTTTTTCCGGTCGGATTTATTATGTTTCTTGGATTGATTTTCGAACCATTCAAAATTTGGGCAAAAGAAGGGAGCTTTTGCCCGTTATCATCCGGCGGCCAATTGGCTGCCATAGAAAAAACTAGGGTTTTTGGACAAGAGTCTAGAGAGAAGCGAGAGCACAAATTTCTAGAGAGAAGCACGTCGTAGATGATCGAATACAAGAATCCAGATTATTAATCCCAAGAATTCAATTGAAAACATTAGAATAGTGTCCAACCTCTTTGAAATATATTTACAGAGCATGAGAAAAACTACGAGCAAGAACTCCAAATTGCCACCACCACAAGCCAAAATGTTCCAAGAAACAAAAAAAAAAAAAAAATGATTTGTGAATATTATTTCACTCCCAAATTTATATCCCGACAACAATTGGATTAAAGAAATCCGATTTACGACAATAAAATCAGATTCTCACAATCCGATTTTAGGTAAAATTGGAATTTGGCAATCCATTTTCTAATCGTTGACTTAATTACGAATTTCTACATTTAGCTACCCAGTTTAAATAAAACCAAATCTGAGCAAGGTGAGTTAAAAGTCGAATTTGAAAATCCAATTTCCTTTTCAAATATTTCATGTCGAATTTACTTTTTTTCCCCAAATCCGATCTTATCTGTTCATTCTTTGACTGTTTCACTTGTTTTTACCAAACATTAAAAACGTTGTCATATTTTATTATTTTTATATGAAATCGGATTATGAGAATCCAGATTATTAATCCCAATTAAGAAATCCGATTTTTTTCTATCCATAGAAATTTTTTTTAGTAGAGTCCACATAAAATTAAAAAAAAAAATTCTCCAACACCCAAACAAACATAGCCTTTTTAAGTACTACTTCCATTCATTTTTTTTTTTTTTTTTTGAGACATTGCACACAAGTTTTCTACAGTAAAACCTCTATACATTAATATGTTTGAAATCTCAAAATTTATTAATCTATAGAGCTATTAATTTATCAATTAATTAATAATTACTAATTTATAACTTTAATATGCTTTGGATCCCAAAATTTTCTTAATTTATGAAGTTATTAATTTATAAATAAATTAAAAATTATTTATTTATAGATAATTTTAATTTATTAATTTAAAGAGTTTTATCGAATCTTATTTATAAAAAAAGTATAAAAATTTGTTATTTTGACATCAAGATAAGTTGGTTGCAACCATATACATTATTATAATTTTTTTAATGGAACAAAAAGATAATAATTGCAAACATCATAAAAAAACCCTTAAGTTAAAATATAAATTAACCTTCAAATCTAATTTTTATTCTTTTCTTTTTGGTAAAATCGGTGAATATATTAACTGCAGAAAACATGTGAACCTGTACATTTACACTTTTCATCTCTATTCTACTCTGTCAACAAAACCTTCCCCTATACAATTCCTATAGTGGCTAAGTATTTTTTCCCTTCCTGTTTAAGCTTTGCACTACTTGCTTGGACTCTCCAGCTCAATTCTTTCTTGATTATTTCAATTGTGTCTTCAACTCTCTTGCATTGTTGGCCAAATCGTCTAGCATTTCTTTCCATCCAAATGTGATACACACATGCCATCACTACTGCACTACATAAACTCTTTTTCACTTTAATAAACTGACAACCATATTTGATTCTTGCATATACCTGTTTCAACAATATCCCTCGCATTCTCAAACCTGCCCATTTCATCAGTTCCTTTAACAACTTCTCTGCAAAGCAACATTTAAAGAACGAGTGATCCTTGCTTTCTGCTTCATCTTCTCCACACAAAACACAACCATTTTGTGATCCCAAGATCTGCAATTTATCTAGTCTTGCCATTGTCAGGAGCCTATCTTGCCATGCTAGCCATCCAATGAAGCTGTTCTTTGGCACACACATATTATTCCATGCCATATCAGCAGCAACAAACTTCTTACCTTTATTTCTCCAAAGTTCAAAACACCCCTTTACAGTGTATGCTTTCTGTCCAACAGTCCATATTCCACTGTCAACACCCTCTTTCAGCTTCTGTTATAGCAGCATCAATCTTCTCCAGTGCCAGCTACAATCAGTTGGTGGCTGGTATTGCCATAAGTCCTTACCTTTTTAAGTAGTAGGCGTGAATCCATTTAACCCACAGGATGTTTTTATCAGCAACAATGTCCCATATCTGCTTTGCCACCGCTGCCTGATTCCAAATTTCCGAGTTCCCGATATTAAGGCCTCCTTTTGCCCTTGGCCTACAAACATTGTCCCATGAAACTAATGCCATTCTACGACCATTTCCAGTCTTCCCCATAGAAAGTCTCTGCATACGCTAGTGATTACTTCTGAAGGCAGCAAGAAAGCATTCTCCCAGTGGACGTGCATCGCAGATAACACCGAGTTCACTAACTGATTCCTACCAGCATAGGATAAGTGCTTAGAGCTCCAACACTTTATCCGTTTGGTAAGTTTCTCAATCAGTAACTGGCAATCCCCAGTGGTCCATTTCGTGAGAGATATCGATAGTCCTAAATATCTCATAGGAAAGATTCTGAGATCAAACCCCATAATCCCCTGCAACTTTCTTTGCATCTCATCATCAATACCAGCACAACACATATTAGATTTCCCCTGATTTACTTTCAAACCAGTACTACTTCCACAGTGTTTCAGAACCCCATGAATACTCTTTACTGACGACTCATCAGCTTAGGAAAGAATAATAAGATCATCGGTAAACCTTAAATTCGTGATTTACAGTTTATCACATTTACTAATTTTTATTCTTTTTTTATTTATGAAATTGTGATACCTATATTTATAGATGATATTCTTGAAAAAACTATTATTTTATAATCTAATCGAGAGTTTTTATTTTTTATGCGGGTCCTGAATTGGGACAGGAAGAAAATATTAGTATTTAATAAAAATTATTAATTAATAAAAGATTAATTTAGGGAGATTCTACTGTAATCCCTTTTTATAAAAAGTTTTGTATTTTCAAGAAAGTGTTAAATACGAGTTTTTTTTTTTCCATTATTTACTGCCTCAATTAACCATTTCGAATTTCACCTTAACCAACATCACTGATGTAATAAAATTAATTGACTAAATCCCTAACATATTTGAGATAAATAATTAAAAAAAGTTTGTTTTATTGGTATTTGTGAAGTTGGGTAATTTCATTTTGTAAACCGGAATTCAGGTATTATATTATTTCCCAAAGAAATAAAATTGCATGTGTGAAAAAACCTTCGACACAACGCCAGTAATGTCTGACTAGTCATCACCGGCCTACTTTTACACTGCCAATTAGTCAGACTTCTTCCTTCATTCTTTTCACCGTCGTCAACCACCAACCAAAACCCAATACCAATAAATTTGAATTTAAAATTTCTCACCTGATTTTTATAGTATTATTAAGAGTCCTTACTAAGTACTACAATTCTTCTGAAACGCCAAATACGACTCACCTCAGAATCTTACCACGACTTATTCTCCTTTTTCATCATTTCTACCATTCCGAAACAAAAATCTTGAATTTTACCCAATCAAAATTTAGTTCGTATACCGGCGAAGAATGTTCAACTGAGTGAAAAAGAAAAGAAAAGAGGAGGATCAGAGTGGCGTTTGGCTGACTATGGCTGTGAGTTCCGGCAGCCGGAGTAGCAGTAAAGAGACGGCGTTGAGGCTGAGGGCGGCGGCGGAGGCGGCGATTGGCTCCATTGGGTTGGGCTATGATATGACGGTTGACCTTAGGCTAAAGTACTGCAAGAAGAGTCCGTCTAGGCTGATCGCGATCGACGATGATCAGGTCCGTGATATTGCGATTCCCGGCGGAATTTTGGTCCAGAATGTGCCGACCTCCATTAATTGCGATAAAGGTGAACGCCTCCGTTTCAGTTCCGATGTTCTTCCATTTCAGCAGGTATATTTTTTTTCTTCTCCTGCTCTTTCTCTAAGACCTTCTAATTATTATTAGTAGAGTTAAATTAGAGTACTACTTATTATAGTTCCGTGATTCTCTCCTACTAATTTTTTTTTTTAAAAAAAAAAAAATGAACCAAATGTGTAATACTGTATTTTAATTATTTTTTTAATCGTCTAACCAGTGTATCAAATTGATGGCCACGCACATGTTTCAAATATGTATTTTAGTTTTCCTCAAATTAATTGGGGTTTTTTTTACATATCATCAAATCCGTTGTCATGTATTGTCTTTGCATATTAATACTCCCGGAATACGAATCTTTTTGGAAATTCTTTTGGGGTCTTCATTTCAAATAAAGAACTGTTTCTCATAACTTGTCAATTACTCCGGTCATTCGATGCCACGGAAGTGGAACATTATCTCAATCATTAGTCAACTTATTATGCCTGCATTACGTTCTCAGACAAATCTCTAAAATGAAAAGATTGATGAGATTTAAACCATAAATGCGTCTCACGAGTTTAAAAGCAAAACTAGTGTTTTAAGTTATTATTGTATTATAATACTATCACTTGTTGAGTTACTGGTTACTTCCGAATAGTCCTGTTTGATCACTCTTTTTCGTCCCGTAATAAGAGTTCATTTTCAACTTCTTACTACAATACTCTTATGAATTAGGTGTTGTGGTGTATTATGAAACAAAACAATGACATGGATAGAAAAAATGCTGCCTCACACGCACAAGACCGCATTACAAAGTTTTGATTAACATTATTCACGGAAGTGTTGGATCTTGTGTGGGACTTTTGGGTGCATTTCTTTGTGGCCTCCATGTGCATCAAACAGTTGTTAAAATTGTTAACTTCAAGTTTTGCTTTTTCATAGACTCAAAGTTTACGTTTCAGTAAAATCTTTCTTCTGGTAGGTTGTGATGAGTTTCCTGTGTTCATTGTTTTTTTACATGGATCCTTTATCTCATGTAACCATGATCTCAACCTAAAAATACCCGTCCGTATACTACTCCTTCTGTCAGCTTCTGATGCAGCTTAAGAATTTGTTCAAACATTCCTTCTCTTTTAGGCTCTTATCTAGGCAGAAAAAATTGAGTTGAGAATGGAGAGAAAGATAGCTGAAAACTGTAAGAAAATGCAGGAACATCAGGATATTCTGGGAAAGGCTCGTAGGATTTCAAGGCCTTGAAGGAGATGAATCTATCGCACTAATGCAAGAATCGTAATTTGCCTGGGTTTTTCAATCTCCAATTCTCCACTTAGATTGGTAACTAGTCTATGATCATTTGAGGGTAGGATTCACTCTCATTCCTAAAGAGTGATATCCTATCTAGACTCAATTACAATAAAGTAACATGCACCTGAATATACTTTTGAAATAAAGAGGCAAAATCATATTCCTAGAATCCCAGCAAAGAAGAAAGTTTATTGGAATGCTCAAAGCATTACAATCAAGGTTTCGGCCTTGGAACTGGCCCCTTTCAGAACCAAAGTTATTAATTTTTCAACAATTTGCAACTTTTTTTTTTTTTTCAGTTTACTATGTATGTGTTTATGTATGCCTATGCTCATGTCTCTTAGATAGGAACAGTTAGTTGAATAGTATGAATATTAATAATTATGCAATATGCACATAACATGGCTTGGGAGCAGAAAGGAAGACATAGCTTTAAGAAACTCTAAGAAGAAGGGCATGAAGCTATGATCAAAGCTTTAGATGGCTACAGCTTGGCACTTTTCATTCTCCTGCTTCTAAATCTTCTGCATTTCTCTTGTTACAGATGTCAGAACAATTTAACCAAGAAATAGCACTTTCCGGTAAAATTCCAACCGGACATTTCAACTCTGCATTTGAATTTACGGGGTGCTGGCAGAAAGATGCTGCATACACAAAAGCTCTTGCTTTTGATGGTGTCTTAATCACCCTCTACACTATTGCCCTGGAGAAGTCCCAAGTGATCCTATCTGAGAATGTTAAGCAAGCTGTCCCTTCATCATGGGATCCAGCTGCATTGGCAAGGTAAATATATTGGTTCACTTCAGACATCTCCTTGCGGGATTTCTAATTTTTGCCAGCTACATTTAGTATTCCTAAGGCCTTTTATTCATTACAGTTTTCCTTTGGCTTAAGGTTTTTGTAACCTCAGTTCAAAAGGATTGATGAAGAAATGCTATATAACTGGAAATCTTGACTTTCAACCTAATGCATTGATCTCATACTTTAGTAAACATATATATCAAGACTTTAGATTCTCTTGCTCTATCATGAAGGTGGTCTTGGGTTTTTATTTTTAGCTCTCCAAATCTGTCAGCAATTAGAACTTTCTCCCCCTATATCCATTCTGTATCACCTTTGGTTCCGTTTCAGTCATTTCATGTGTATTTTCACCGATGTCATCTAACTTGTCCTCGTGCCTATTTGTGCACTATTAAACTATAGAGTGCAATTATGTAGATGAGCTATCTCAAGTGAGTACTTTCTTTTGAGATATCTAGGTTTATTGAGAAGTATGGCACCCATATCATTGTTGGAGTCAAGATGGGTGGCAAGGACGTTGTATATGTGAAGCAGCTATATTCATCGGCCCTTCAGCCTGTTGATGTTCAGAAAAAGTTGAAAGACGTCGCAGATAAGAGGTTCAGTGATGCAGGTGGACCTTCAAGTGACCACTCAGATAAAGCTTATGCTAGAAACGTTGTGAGTGGCAATAACCCCACTAGTTTTTTTTTCTTATATATGTGTCTTGATAGTGTGTATGTCTGGGGGATCCGTCATGAGACTGCTGTTTTATCGTTTCCACTTTTGTTCCGTTACCTTACTTTGGGGCTTCGACTTTTCTGCTAAATTGTTCGTTATGCAAGTTTTAATTGGAGAGTATAAATGCAAGTGATTAGTTCTTACTACTGTTCAGCTTAGTTAATGGTTCAATCCTCACATGTATCTTTGGGTCATACATCTAACTGGAAAAATCTCTGTCTCCAGTTCTAGAGCTTCTCCTGTTTCCCTTGTTAAAATTGTTGTACCTAAAATTTTATAAGGTGTATTTATCAAATGTTCTTTTATCCCTAGAGAATGGTTCTGAAGTTGTAAGCTCAAGACAGTTCCAACTACAAATAAGAAAGAAGAATAAGATAACATTATGAATATTTGAGTGTTGTTAGTGGCAATTGCAGGTGAAGGATTGATTGTTTGTCAGATATGGACATGGCGTCCTTTTTTTTATCACATTGTGTTAAAAGTAATCTGAAGCATGCTCACAATATCATACTCAATCAAAGTTTAGACTGTAACTTCTTACTTTTTTTATTGTTTTTTTTTCCCTATCCAGCCGTCAACCATCCTTTAGATGGTTATAATGGGAAAACTTAAGCCTGTTTTCAATTCTTGAACCACATAATTATCTAATGGCTGCAATTATTATCCAATATTTGCGGCTAAATATAGAATCATCGGTAATGCAATGATCATTGTAGTTTTGTTGTTTTGGAACAATGCAAGATGGCACCTTAAAGGTTTTCTGTTCCTTTTCCTTTTGCTTCGCTGGGGGCTGCATTAAATAAGTGTGTCGTTTAAAGTTTTAATTGTATTAATATATTTACTGTGCCACTGTCGACAATGGTTATTGGTGACATATTTCATTCATTGGAAATCTCTGAAATAGTTGATTTCAGCTTGGCAGCAATGAACGTGGCAATGCCTTCTTGGATACTAGTGCAGACACTGTTTTTGCACAAAATGAGGTAATTCTGCCTGATACTTGCTATTGATTATGTGGTAGATCTGAGTGTTTGAGACTTTAATTTCCTTTATTTCATTATTTGTTCAGTTGTGAAGCATCAGCGTTTTTAAAGGATTAGTTTGCTAAAGGTTTTTTGAAACAGTATTTTGTAACTACGTTTTGAAGCAACATAATATCCTGTATACGTGGTTCCTGTAGATTGTGCTTAAGCAAGGTATTTCATTTCAATATATGGATGTAGTAGAGGCGTACCAAGAGAGCAATTTGATGTCAAATCTCAGTTTTAAAAGTTGCTGATTGTTAATTAACCTCATAACTGAACATTACAAAGATACTTATGTTGATTCTGGAGCTTTATGGTATTTTAGTTGTATGTTTTAGACGGAGAGATTATTGTTTGAATGGAATTGCAATTTTCTGTTTGTAGTATTAATAATGAAAGAACAATCTTCAGTAGCAGATTGAATGTAGCAATGGTCAGAACTCCCTGTTCCTCGATTTTGTAAATAGGATTAGGATTGAGGTGAAAAGATGTCATCTGTTGTGTACATCATAGTAGCAGGAAAACTACTGCATGACCAACTGACCAGTAACTCGACTCCAAATTTTCTTTCTTTCTCCACTTAAGCCCAAAGGCCGAACCAAGGCAAACTTCTCATTTTAAAATTACATTTTTATATTACCAATAACCATTTTTATATTTACATTCCCACTGCTACTTTTATAATTGTTAACTAAACTCAATTCAGCCCAAAAATAAATTCAAAAAAAAAAAAAAACAATGTGGCCCATAAAAGAAAGATTTCTGTTTCAGGTTTATTTATTTATTCAACTTTTGATAGCAGATTCATCTTAGTAAAATTGTATATTTTCAATTTTGATGCAGGATGTTACTTTCTTTTGCCGAAGGAGAGGTGGGAGCGGTAGCAAGAATTTATCCCACATCAATTGGTCTCGAACCGTCCAACTCGAACCTGATGTTATTTCAATGTCCTTTATCCCAATCTCATCACTTTTGAATGGAATTGATGGAAGTGGATTTTTGAGCCATGCCATAAATCTTTACCTACGTTGTAAGCTCTTAACTTATTTTTGTTACGTCTTCTTTTGTTATGCTTGACTTGGATCTCAAGGTTAATTATTGTTCATTCTATGCTAGCAAAAATAATAATAATAATAATAATAAACTAATACTTTCATCACCTTCATGTTCATGTCCCGGGGTGCAAATATAAGTACTTACAGAGCTTGAATGTGTTCCCTTTACCTACTCACTGATTGTTAAGAATCTTAGGATAAATGCCTCTATCTTGTTCCTATATTGTAGTGGTCAATGCCTATTCCCATTTTCTGTATATTTACTGTCTCGTCAAACTTTTACCCTTTGCTTAAAATGTGTAATCTTGAGCTTTGGATCCGTACAGGGTTGAGATTACCTGTATTTCATGATGATAGCAAATATGTAACTTGGTGTTTGGTTGAACTTTGTTGATAAAGACTGAAAGCAATGAATGTCTCTAATAGATGTTGGAGGTTCGAACGGGTTGGATAGGTTGAAGAAGTGTTCTTATCCATTAAATCACAATGCTGCAAAAAATTTATAGAATCGTGTACGTCATCTTCCCATTCTAGCCTCGTTTATACTACAGATTGCATCTTTTTTAACAGCCCGTTTTATTTGGTGCACATGAGTTGTACACGCTCAGTTTTCTTACAAAAATAATCAACTCTAGGACCCTTACCGACTTATAAATGTATCAACTAGTTGATCAATTGACCTAATAAACAAGATAACAATTTCCTTAGCTATCAGTTTTTTCCGAATGAAATGATTGTCAATTTTGTTATGTGGAACAGAGTCAGTTTTGCAAATTATAGCTAAAAGATGCATTAACCAGATTAGTTCAAGTAGTGTGTCTGCAGTAGAATGAGCAAGTTTACCTTTACAATACATAAATGGTCATTTTTTCAAGGGTGGAAATATTTACTTGAGCCTCTGGGATGCAGATAAGCCTCCGATTGAAGAATTGTATCAGTTTCTGGAATTTCAACATCCTAGGCAATGGGCTCCTGTATTTGGTGACCTTGCAGTAGGTCCTGAGAGAAAGGAGCAAAATGGTGCATCTTTGCAGTTCAGCCTAATGGGTCCGAAGTTATATGTTAACACGATTCCGGTAACAGATTGCTGAACTTGTGCATGCTATGACTAGAACGAACTTTTGCAACTTTTGATTGACAGAAATTCAAATCTAGCTTACTTTTGCAATTTTCACTAACAAAAAAGATTCATAGTGCAAAAGACTTCGCATACCATGTAATCAGTTTCAATTATTTGAAGGTCTATTAATCTGATATACTCAAATTGAAAATGTAGTATTGCTTCAATGATGGGACATTTGCTTCTGTCCAAGGCTTGGTGTCAAATATGTTAGAAACTGCATTCCAGAAGTTATGTCTTCCAGATTGAACATTGCTTTCTTAATGTAGACAACTTTTTATTTGGTTTTAATAATGAGAAAACACTGAGAGCTTGATCTAAAGCTAGAGCATTGAACTTCATTCTAGGAGAAGAGATTGAGGAAAGAATATGTAAGCATGACTATGGAAGGGTGAAGAAGAGGTTCTAGGGAGAGAGAGATTTATGTACACTGGATTTATTTGACTGTAACAAAACCGTTTAAACAAAGAAACATTTGGCTTGTAGTGGGAATCCAAGATCCTAATCTTAGGGACACTATCCTGGTTGTGCTGTTGTACTTGTAGGTCATTTCGAAAACGCTTCACGTATGGCTGAAAAATGATTTTGTTTTCTGCTGGTCTTGCATCAGAGCAGCAAATGTGAAGTTCAGATGCTTGAACAAGTTAATCCATAAAGATCTATCTAATAATCTTGCATGATAGGATAAAGACTTGGTTGTTGTAGGGGAAATCTTGAGTTCAAGTCTACCTTATGCAATCCTAGAAATTCCCTGTCAAATATTAGTACGTAATTTGATGTGCATATGCACTTTAAAATATCTGTTAATGTGTAAGATGAGTGTTTAATGATCTTCCAGAAGTTTATGTTAAGTGAACCATCTAGCTGAACACTATTGGAATACATCGTCTGTGTGCAAGCAAGATGTCCTTTTTGACCTGTTTCACATTCCAGGATAAGTGTACCCCTTGTACTATATACTCGGCAATTGTTTAAATAGCATTTCAACTTTATACAAGAACTTGAGTTGAATTATTCCATTTAACCCCTGATTTTGGACAAGGGCATGTTGTTCGTGGGAAGGATCTCTAAAGGAAACAACACGATATATTCTTCCAGAACTTTTTTCTATGATTGACTTGTTGAGTCTTGGGCAATGTTTCATAGATTCTCAAAATAATTTACGTAAATTTTCATATGGCTGACAATGGCTTCAAACAGGTGGATGTTGCTAACAAGCCTGTGACTGGCCTTCGATTATACTTGGAAGGGAAGAAAAGTAATTGCTTGGCAATCCATCTGCAGCACCTTTCGTCATTACCTAAGAGCTTTCAACTTCAGAATGAATCAAATCTGAAGATGTCAGGCAACTCGATTGACAGAAGATATTTAGAGAAAGTTCAGTGGAAGAGCTTCTCGCATGTGTGCACAGCTCCTGTTGAATCCGATGAAGACCTGTCCATTGTCACTGGTGCTGAATTTGAAGTTAAGGAATCTGGAATGAAAAATGTTCTCTTTTTGCGGCTTCATTTTTCCAAGGTCATTGGTGCCATGGTTGTGAAAAAACCTGAATGGGATGGTTCGCCTGTGCTTGGCCAAAAGTCTGGTATCATCTCAACGTTGATCAGCACACGTTTCTCCACCAGTCAGAAACCTCCTCCGAAGCCATCTGAGGTTCATATCAACTCAGCTCTGTATCCTGAAGGTCCTCCAATATCTGCACAAACCCGTAAACTTTTGAAGTATGTGGACACTACAGAGATGACCAGAGGACCACAGGATCCACCTGGATACTGGGTGGTTTCCGGGGCTAGGCTTGTAGTCGACAATGGCAAGATTTCTCTCCGTGTTAAGTATTCTCTCTTGGCTATAATGTTACCAGATGAAGACGATCAATATCATGTATAAAAGGGAAGACTGATTATGTATTGAGGAAATCTAAATGTTAAACTCCGTATGCAACTTTAGAAAGGATTTTAATGTTCTTTTTTCACTTAGGAAGAAGTTTCAATATTGATGAGGTGTAATTGTGGTACAGTAAATGTAATACTACTGTACATAAGTCGTCGACTATGCAGAACTAAAAATTTTGTTAGTGCCTCTTCTTAAGTTGTCGACTATGCAGAACTAAAAGTTTTGTTAGTGTCTCTTCTTTTGAAATTTCGCGCCTCGATCTGGTCATTGGAAGATCTCCTAGCGGGTGCAAGTTGAAAATTTGTACAAATTCAACATGTAAAATATTGTTAGCAGGAGTTGAACCATGATCTCATTGGATTGATGCCAAAGTTTAAATCACTAGGTCTCTCCTTTTTGTCTCTTTTGTAGTATTCGATAACTCCTGTGGAACATTATCTATCTATTTATATCTTATTATGCTAAGAAAGAAAACGAGAGAAAAAAAATTAAGGATCCGTTTGATTTGTTTATGGGTTTCGCTATTGAATTAGATATGATAATAGTAAGGGTTTAAAATATTGGTTAGTTTATAATTAGGTTTAGGTATTATTATTATTTTGCATTTAAGTTATTGAGTTAGTGATACAAATTTTTTTTTTTTTTGATGAAAATGGGCAAATTCTATTACTTCAGATGAACAAAAAACTTATTTACAATACATTAACCAGTTTCCTGCACCTCTCCTGTTCTCTGTGATCAGCCCTATTTACAAGTATTAATGCCTATTGCATTCAGATACCTGCTATCTGCTGTTTTCAATTTTGTACATGTAAATTGCACCTTCCATCGCATCTCTTGTTTTATGAGCTCAATTCTTTCCGCTACTACCTTCTCATTCTGCTGAAACTTCCTTAAGTTCCTTTGAGTCCATACGTGATGAATAGAAGCCATGACAGCACAACTAATAATGTTTCTTTCCACGTTTCGAAATTGGAATTCATTCCTTACTTTAGCCAATACCTGTTTTAGTCGCCTCTGTTTGATTGGAATCATTAACCAGTTCAGCAAACCTGTCAGTATTTGATTCCCATAGTCGCATTCAAAAATAAGTGGCTTGCTGTTTCTTCCACACCTGTATCACATAGGCAACAGTTCTGTTTATCCATATTAATATTCATGCGAGTCAATCTTTCCACAGTCAAAAGCCTGTTTTCATTTGCCAACCAAGCAATATAGCTATGTTTTGGCAAGCACCATCTATTCCATATCAGCCCTGCTTCTGGTTTCTGTTGCCCTTTATTTCTCCAAAATTCATATCCTCGTTTGATTTTGTAGTCTGTTCCATCTGATCGCCATGCTCCAGCTACAACACCCTCCTTCATTTTCTCCTTTACTTGCATTAGGACTCTCCAATGCCATCCACAATCTGCCGGACATCTATGTTCCCATAGGTCCTGATCTTTCAAATATATCTCATTAATCCACTTAACCCAAAGAATGTTTTTCTTAGTCCTAAAGCTGTTTTGCAATAGCAGCTTGGTTCCATAGTATTGGGTCCCTGATTCCCAAACCTCCCTCTTTCTGAGGTTTACAGACATTCTCCCATATCACCAATGATATGCTATTCCCTGCTTCATTCTTTCCCCACAAGAATTCTCTACAGACTCGAGTGACTTGTGTTAATACACTTTTCGGCAGTAAAAAAGAATTGGCCCAGTAACTATGCATCCCCAGCAGAACTGAATTCACCAGTTGAAGCCTTCCTGCATAAGAAAGATGCCAACTGCTCCAACAGTTAACTCTTTTCGTCACTTTTTCGACCAACTGCAGGCAGTCACCATTTGTCCACTTTGTTGGTGAGATTGACAATCCCAAATACCTCATTGGAAATGTACCATTTTCAAATTCTATAATCTCTGTTAACTTCTTCCCTTCTTCTTCACTGATTCCAGCAAAGTAAACATTAGACTTTTCTTTATTTACTTTCAGCCCTGCTACCTCTCCAAAATGCTGCAGTATATCCTTAATGGTTTGGACTGATTCCTCCTCAGCTGCACATACTATTATTAAATCATCAACAAACCCTAGGTTTGTTATTTTCAGCTTACCATATTTCGGATGGCACTTTATCTTCTTCTGTTCTACCCCCTGCTTGAAGGCCCGTGTGAGATAGTCCATTACCATTACAAAAATGAGAGGCGATATTGGATCCCCCTGGCGTAATCCTCTTTTGCCTTCAAAGAACCCTACACTATGACCATTCAAATTTAACGAGTAAGTTGCACTGGTGACACACTCCATTATCCAGCCCACAAACTTCAGTGGAAATCCATAAGCTCTTAGCATTTCCTGAACAAAACCCCAGCTTACTATGTCATACGCTTTCCGTATGTCCACTTTCATCAAGCAGCTTCTCCCAACTAATTTCCTGCGATACAGCCTTACCAATTCCTGCGTCAGTAATATATTGTGTACAATTTTCCGATCCTTTATAAGCGCACCTTGATTGATATCCACCAATTGTGGCAGTACTTTATTCAATCGATTACAGATCACCTTCGAGATAGCCTAGTAAATTGTGTAACAACACGTTACCGGTCTATAATCCACAGCAGTTTTTGGCACATCAGATTTTGGAATCAGGGATATTATGGTATTGTTAAGATGTTTCAGGAGCATTCCAGTTTGGAAAAACTCCGATATTGCTGCAGTAACATCATCCCCAATTTCGCCCCAAGCTTGTTGGTAGAATCCACTTCCATACCCGTCTGGACCTGGACTCTTCTGAACATTAATATCAAACATCGCTTGCTTAATCTCCTCCTTAGTTACATCTCTGATCAACTCCAGTTGCTGATGGATGTTCAACTTATTTCCCATATCAAGTATATCATGTCTGGCTGACTTTCTTGGTTCTGCACATCCCAGCATTTTTTCGAAATAACCAACAAAGTGATTTTCACTTTTTCCCAATCTGTTTCAACACTTCCATCTTCATTTGTAAACGATATAATCTTGTTGAAGTTCCTCCTTCCTCAGGATAGTTTGCTGTTCTACTCCACTTTTCATACTATCTCCACAATGCCCATCTTTTCTGACAATCTCACATGGGCCTTGTGATCTGAGTTTTCTTTTTTCCCCCACTTCTTCAGTTTTACCAGAATTTCTTATTATATTTGGTCCATATCCTACCTGTTGCTTCTGCCTATCCTCTGTCCCCTTCCTGTTCTGTGTTGGTTTCAGAGCATCATTCCTTCGCTTGATCCAACTCTGCGTTTCTTTCATAAGCTGTTTTCCCTTTTCTATTCTGCAATCTTTCCCTTCATGACCGTATCCCTTACACTTTGTGCATCTCACTGGGATCCAGTCATACTGCAATCTTTGGCTGGTAATATTTCCTCTTTCATCTTCAAAAGTTACTTCAACTGGCAAGTTCTCATTGATCTCCATCTCTACAAGTACTCTTGCATATTCAGCTCGTTGCTTTTGTGTCGTATTCTCATCCATCTTCAGAGGAATGCCAACAGTACTCATAATTTTACTCAATACGCCTGCATTCCAATATCTGAGTAGTAACTGTGGCAGTTTCACCCAAACAGGCACCCTGATGTGTTCCTCCACTTTAACCCCTTCAAGAATAGACCAATCTCTGACAATAAATGGTTTATTATCAAAGTGGTACAAATTATGCTTCAATATTGCTGTTTTGGCTTCCTACGTTTTAAACCGTACCACAGAAATTCCATTCTCCAGTTGCAGGATTTTATCAATACCCAGATTTCCCCATGATCTTCTAACAAAACCATTCATCACAATATAGGGCAATTTCGCACCAAGAACATAGCAAAGAATTGACGATTGCCAATAATCCACTTCTGCTTGAATATCAGTCAACTCAATTTTTGCTATTTTCCTAGCATCCACAACCTTTGGTTCCACATAAGAAAGCTTTGTCTCCACTTTAAACAGATTATTCCATTCCTTCAAATTCCACTTTTCCGATTTCCCCTCTTTCTTCCCTAATTCTCCCTGTTCTAATCTAAGAACCTCCCCCCCATTCACAATTCGTTGACCGCACAATTCTTCTAGCATTCTATCATGTGAATTTAGGGTTAGGGATTGATTACTAGATTGAATTGGGGTTGCAGAAGTCGAAGCTCCCATACACGTCTTCATCAGGTCTACTTTCGTCGCCCGCAGCAATTCTTCCACCGGTTATTCCACTACTTCCTCCACAGCCTTCTCCTTCTTTTTCTTTTGTTGTCTCGCCATTAGCAGGCATACAGATTGTACATCGAGAGCGCAAGAAAAAGGGGAGAAAATCGCACACAGTTGAACGTGTGTTCGCCCAAAGAAGCGCGTGTCACCGAACGTGTCTTTTTGTTTTTTTTTTTATACAAAAACTTACCTACTATTTTTTAAAAGTTAATAATTTTTTTAATAAATCAATTTAAATACTTTAGATTATGAATTTATTTAGAAGATTAAACTAAATTTGTTTGATTAAGTCCCAATAGCTCTTATTTCAACTTTCATTTAATGAAGTAAACAAATTCTAGATTTCAATCTCAATTCGAATCATATATTTATTAATGTAAATTTTCATTTAATGATGTTCGTAATTTAAATTTGACTCAAAAAAATTTCAAATACAACCTTAATTTTATAATAAATAAAAGAATTATTTTTATGATAAAATAAAAAATTTATAAACAACACAATACCATGAGAAAACAAAGGAATAAAGAAAAAAAAAAGTGGTAAAAACAGGAATTAGATTAAAAAAAAAATCCAACTCCCGGTGGGTTTAGAAAATTCCTAAATAATTGAGTACCAATCTATTCTTGTCAATTTAAAACCCATCAACCAGATACCAAAAACTGGAATTATTTCATTCCTACAATCTAAAACACACCAAGCAAACGGTTGGTAAAATGTATTTCTAACATGCCACCTAAGATAATATCTTATGTATCAAATTCTTAAAAAATATTAAAAAAAATTCAAAAATT